TGTGTGTGTGTGTGTGTGTGTGTGTGTGTGTGTGTGTGTGTGTGTGTGTGTGTGTGTGTGTGTGTGTGTGTGTACCTAGGAAACCTATTTGTGCACCCTACCTTTCTATCCCTTTTTCTGGAACGCCACACACCATTCACAGCCCTAAAACCTGTAAGACCGCCTTTCTCCCAACTAAACAAAAGAAAATAAAAACTTTGATGCAAACTCAGGGTTCGCTCCTTCCTTCCCTTTGAGGAAGTTTGTGGTCCTTTCTTTCCTCTCTTCACCTTCCACCTCCTTGTCGCCAGCAAGCCCAGCTCGCCCAGCTCGCCGGCCGACTTTGCCTGCAGCTATTCCATCAACTAACTGGCTTTCTGCTCTGGCCAAGTCCAAGAAACGAGAATCATGTCTCTCCACCATCAATTACTGCATGTCTGCCTGTCACAACAATTTCAGGTACCCAAACTCATTATTAATCAGTCACAAGTAGTCATCAGCACATACTAAGCCCCCCTCCCATAGTCTCAGCACTTCAACGAAAAAAGCAACTGGATCAGTTGGGATCTAATCAATTGACATGCAGTTTCGCAATCCAGAGACCAATCATGATTTTGAATCTGAGAGTACGCCTTGGCAGTTGAGCAGTACACATCTAGATTCTAGAACTGTTTTTTTTTTTTTTTTTTTTTTTCCTAGAACTGTTCACATCAGCATGCTACGAACTTGTGCGCTCCAAATTTCAAATCCTTTCCAGTTAAATAAGAAGAAGAAGAAGAAGAAGAAGAAGCTAGGTGCAAGGAACATGAGTATGGACGAAGCACAGAAATCCAGAATGCAAAATCACACTGAAGTCCAAGTAGTTAAAGCCAAAGCAGATAGCACATGGAACCGAGTAACCATCCAATTGAGAATGATACAGAAGAATCGTGAGTCAATGTCCATGCCCAACAGGGCAACACCAACAGCATAACCCAAATGTAGCTCTCTCTTGTGMATGGCGCCAGGCGCCCTATCTACTCTACAGCTATCCTACAACTACAGCAATGAAAAGCAACCAGACAACCTGACTACCAGYGAGTGATGAKGTCAACACCAATGCMGACCTCCACCATCACCAGGTAMGTGTCCTCTTCCCCACACTCTCCCTTGTTACCCACACAGCGCCCTTCACCTCCGAAGTACCACCTTCGCCCTCAACTCCCCTGCACCCTCATGCGGCCCAGGCTATGGACGCCAGTGCCCTCAGTGCAGGCAGCGCCCTACCGCCTAGCGCTGGCCTGCTTGCTCTTAGCGCAGCACTGCCTTGCACAGCGCAGCACACGTGCATCCGCGCAGCGTGCCCGCATGTGCCAGCATTGGCCAAGATCCTTGCTGCCTCGCCCTGCTTGCCTATATGCCAATGCAGCATGTGGGCGGCCTCCCTTCAGCCTGCGACCGGGACCCAGAGGCTGAAGCCTTCCCGATACAGTTGGGCCCCGGAGCAATGCAGTTGCGCCTCTCTTCTCAAGGCCKGCGGCCAGATTCAGATAGTGGGCCGATTTTCCCTTTGGCATTTCGGCCTCTCTACCCAGCATGCATTGTCGGCCTCAYGTTCGAGTGCCCAGGGCCTAACTAACTCAGAGGCCCTGGGCATTTCAGCATTTGCTGAAATCCGAGACTCGGTGCACTCCAACCAACTGGCGTGCTGCAACTGTATAGACCCNCTAACTAACTCAGAGGCCCTGGGCATTTCAGCATTTGCTGAAATCCGAGACTCGGTGCACTCCAACCAACTGGCGTGCTGCAACTGTATAGACCCAAATGTTGGCCGAGAGGGCTCTTGTTGATTTGCTGGCCCGCCTTCACTTAGGGCGGGCACTAGGCTTGCTGGGGCCTTGGCCCAGAACATGTACATCATGGCAAGGCCCCTACTTGAGGGCTCAATCCTCACATTCCATCCCCCTTAGCTTCGAAAGTCCGCTGAGATGCTTACTTCGCAGGTGCCTTCCCTTTTAGCTTCCGTTCATAATCTGCCACCACCTGAGGACCTGTTTCCATCAGTTCCTCCCGGGTAAACCACCGATCTTCTTTAGGATCCGTATGATGCCTGAATCTGATCCGGTACTCTCTCTTGGGTTTAGGAGGTCTTCCTCGACCCAATGGCTTCTGAACAGGCATATCCCTGTGTTCCACAATGTCGTCGATGTCGACTTGTCCATCCATGGTTGGGGGGAGCATCGATCTCCTGGAAGGGAATTGATCTGTCTCAGCGAAAGGTGCAAGCTTTGAGGCATGAAAGACTGGGTGAGTGCGTAGGTGTCCAGGGACATGAATGACATATGTGGGACCATCCAACTCATCTCCCACTACATCCAAGACTTCCTAGGGACCAAAGTACTGAGGCATCAGTTTGCGAGATATTCCGAATTCCTGTCCTAACTCACTAGCCTTCACCCAGACACGTTCCCCTACCTGAAATGTAGACTGTCTACGATGTTGATTCTCAGAAGCAATCATGGCTTGCTGAGCCTTCTTCATATGTTCAACAGCCTCTTGCAGCAACTTCTCATACTGCACACCGTATTCAAGAGTGCCTGGAGTTGCAACAGGTCGGTTTTCGGGTAGGAGGAAGTCTAATGCTGATCTAGGCTTCCATCCTAAGTGCAGCTGGTTAGGACTAACGCCGGTACTGCTATGTATAGCATTGTTGTACAGGCTGGCGATGAGAGGTAACTGCTCATCCCAGTCATCCTGGTTGGGCTTGATGTAATGCCTCAGCAAGTGTTGTACAACTCTATTCATTTGTTCGGCCTGTCCGTTGGCTTCGGGATGATTCCCTGAAGTCATTTGAAGTTGACTGCCCATCTGTTCCGCAGTCTTCTTCCACAGCTCACTTGTAAATCGGACATCTCGGTCACTAATGATGGTCTTTGGTAATCCAAAGTCCCTTACCCAGTTGTCCTTTAACAACTTGATGATGTATTCTGTCCTGGCTGTCTCTGGCATTGGTATTAGTCTAGCGTACTTGGTGAATCGGTCAATGATGACGAAGATGTGCCTTTTACCACTCTTGCTGGTCACAAGAGTGTCCATGAAATCCATGGAAACACTCAATCCTGGACCATCAGGAATAGGTAAAGGCTTCAATAACCCAAGCGGTGCTTGAGTTCGCGGCTTGTCCCGCTGACAGACCTGACAGGTCTCAACATACTTCTTTGCGTCATCTAACATTCTGGGCCACCAAAATCGCTGTACTAAGTTACGACTCGTTTTCTTGTAGCCAAAGTGCCCAGTTGAGTCATGACATTCGCCTAAAAATAAACTACGCAATTGTTCACTAGATGGAACTACCAATCTCTTGACTCCAACCTTATCAAGATAGATTACCCCATCCACCATCACAAACTCACTTTTTGTAGCCTTGTCTTTCGCCTGAAGTTTGCGGATGATGTCCATCGTGACAGGGTCTTCCTGATAGGCTCCCACCAATGATTGAGTTACTTCATTAGATACGCCAAATTCAGAAACTAGCGCACCTAGTTAGTCTGCTCTACGGGATAGCGCGTCTGCAACCTTATTGTACTCTCCCTTCAAGTACTCAAGCTTGAAGTCATATTGGTCTATGACCTCAATCCATCGCTTGAGTGCATCAGAAAGAGCCGGTTGAGTCTTGATYCATTTGAGGGTCTGATGATCAGTCCTCAGATAGAAGAACCTTCCCAAAAGGAAGTGTCTCCAATGGATAAGTGCCTTGTAGAGAGCACAGAGTTCCCTTTCGTAGGTGGACTTAGCCAGCTTCTTCGAAGGCATTTTCTTACTCATGTACTCAATCGGTCTCAACTTTTTCCCATCCTGCTGAGCCAGCACTGCGCCAATGTCGTAGTGGCTTGCGTCAGTGGTCACTATGAATGGCTTCTGCGGATCGGGAACCATGAGAACTTCATGATTCATGAGTGCATGCTTCAATCTTTTGAAAGCACCCTCGCACTATACTCAACATCGCCCACTTCGTGGAGAAAGGGGCCTATATCCAGAAATATCTATCTATCCTAATCGTAAGTTGAGTTGGAGAGCCGTATGATAGGTGACTATCTCGTACGGTTCGGAGAGGACTCGAGTAATCACCATCTACTTTATAACACTTATTTTTATTTGTTTCTGGTTTCAAGTCTTATTTTATTAGTGGCCATGATTGGAGCTATAGTACTTACCATGCATAAGACTACTCAAGTAAAAAGACAAGATGTTTTTCAACAAAATATGATAGATTTTCAAAAGACTATCAAAAAAATACGACAATTGAAAGGTCTCTAGTAGCTCAGTGGTTAGAGCATCACTCCATTCCCACGGTGTGTCAAGTCGAGTTAGATCAATCAAAGGAGAGGGGACTGTAGAATAGTTCTTTACAAAGTTCCTATAGTAGCCGCACATTCCTAAGAATGATCTGACCTCAGTGACTGTCTGAGGTCGTGGTCAGTCTCGAATACTAGCCACCTTCGCATCTTCCGGCCTAATCCCTTCCGCGGATACTTCATGACCCAAGTATAGTATCTTTGTGCGGCCAAACTCGCACTTCTCTAAGTTGACCTTATACTTGTGTTGTCGTAGGAGTGGTAGTACTGTCTCAACATGCTGTGCGTGCTCCTCGGCAGACTTACTAAAGATCAGAATGTCGTCTAGATAGACTACGACAAACTTATCTAAATGGTCATGGAAGATCCGATTCATAGCGTGTTGGAATGTACCTGGCGCATTACAAAGACCGAAAGGCATCACTACAAACTCATACAGACCATAACGAGTCTGAAAAGTTGTCTTGTGTTAGTCCTCAGGTCTTATTGCGATCTGGTGATATCCGGATTTCAAGTCTATCTTTGTATAGTACTTGCATCCCTGCACCCTATCCAGTAGGTCGTCTATGCGAGGTAGAGGCTCTGCGTTTTTCACCGTGATGGCATTGACGCCCCTATAATCAATGCACATCCTCAAAGTACCCCCCTTCTTCGGTACGAATAGCACGGGTGATCCGTAAGGGGAAGTACTAGGCCGAATCCATCCTTTCTCTGTCAGCTCCTTGAGTTGCTTCCGAAGTTCATCTAACGCGGCAGGGGCCATCCTATAGATCCTTCCCTTTGGGGTCTTACTCCCTGGAATGATTTCTATAGCGTGGACGACTTCCCTATCAACAACTCCTGTGGGCTCCTCGAACAGATTAGGGAACTTAGCAACGACGCGTTCTATCTCTGGGGGTGTTTTAACGGCCTCCCCCTTCTCAGAGACATAAACAAGGTCCATACCCTCCTCTTTGTTTTGCTTGTAATAGTTGTAGAACGTTGATGCACACAAGCAACCATAGGTATCTACAATACGGCTGGCCTTGAACTTAGTCAATCTGACAGTTCGGCCATCGGGCAACTTTTGCTTGAGCACCTTCTTATCCCAGTCGAAATGGGGCTTAGCAACTTCGAGGTAGTACATGCCTAACAACATTTCGAATGGCAAGTCGTTGCTAACCAAGAACGAGATCCTATGGTTAAGCTCTCCTCCTCCATAGGAGAAGGTACAGACTACGTCCTTGATGTAGTCTGTGACAATCATGCGCTCTTTGTTGGCCAAAGTAGATGCTACTGGTCTACTAAGGTGCCGTACCCGGTCCTGTAGGTGCAGCCTTTCCAAACAATCGCGACTTATGTAATTTCGCGTGGATCCGTTGTCTATGAAGGCTCCACATTTGCGGCCTCCTACATCCACTTCCRCYATGAAATGTTCCCCTCTAGGACCCTTCTTTAGCGCCACCCAAGACTCGCGAGGGTCCTTGTTTGACCACTCGCCTTCTAAGTCTTCTAAGGCCTCAGACACATCTAACGTACAGAGCATAGTTTGGTCTAGTTGTGTCTGCGGGGTGACTAAGGAGTCATTAGCTTCGGCCTTGTCATGAAGTGAGGAGGGTATCATTCCCACTTCATCTTGAGTAGAAGTCGCTACTACTTCCATTGGCCCAACGCGTTTCCCGAGCTAGAAGCCTGGGAATAGGTTGTCCCTACTTTTGGAGCAACCTTTTGCGTAACCTTAGCGTTCTGACACTTCCACTGCGTGTGTCCGTATTCTCCGCAGTTGATACAAGCGCCACGCATTCGGCGGTCACGCCACACGTCTTGATCAAGACCTGCCTTTACCCACTCAGACTGTTTGGTCTGATTGGAGGCGGCCTTCCCTTGACTCCTAGGTTGGCCCTTCCCTCGGCCACCTGCCTTAGTCTTTACTACCGCGGCAAGGGTGTTACCCTCAACTACCTCCTCGCCGTCATACTCTGAGTAGTCCATCAGGTCAGAGAGCTCATCAATCTCAGTTTGAGTCCCATCAAACTCAACCATCATCAACTTCGCCCCCTTCTTCTTCCACTCTTGAGGACTCTTCTTCTTCTTTGAGTCATTCCCTGAGGTGGGTTGAGCATTACCTAGCGTGGCCTCTAAGTCTAAGGCTTTCCTAGACAATGTCTCAAATGAGTGGTACTCAGTGTGTGCCTCACTGGCTAGTAAGTTCCCCATGTTCTCAGGTAGACATCTAACAAACGTGGTTAAGAGGAATTGGTCAGTGTAGTTGATGCCTGGGATGAGGATCAGGCTCTCGACGGTAGTCGTAAGCTCCTTAACTGACCTGAACTTGCGTTGGTCCAGTTTATTAATGGCATCAGTGGCCCTTTGAGCCTCCTGTGGGTTATACCATCGAGCTTCTACCATCTTCATGAATTGGTCTAAAGTCAAAGACTTAGCCCAATCCGCCATACGTCGCCCGTACCCGGCCTTCACAACTACACTATCTAACCATTTGGCTGCCTTACCCTCTAGGTAAGACGCCGCAGTTACCAGGCAAGGTCCTTTTGGCCTTTACCCAAACTGGGACTGTCCTCAACCATGTGTTGAGTTCCTCGTCCTTTCTCTCGCCTGAGAAGGCAAGAGGCGGTTTCATTGGGGTCTTGGGATACCATTGACCTTGTGGCTGTCCTTGTGGAGGACTAGTCTGTTGCGGTGGTGTAGCAACCACCGCTGGACCCGAAGAAGAAGATGCAACAGTCTGTGTTGCTGCTGCAGATGTGCCACTTGGCTGTGTGCCAGCTTGAACCGGAAAGGGGCCTGACATCGCCGATAACGGCAACGACGATTGTGCTGGTGACCGGTATCCTGGCCTTGTCAAAGCGTCCAGGATCTGGTCTAGAGTGCTTTGCATGAAGTCGAATCTGCTGTCCACATGCGCGTGCAGCGACAGCACATTCTTCTTCAACACTTTCATCTGGGCATTCATTGTTGCCTCATCCAAGCCCTCTAGTTCAGCCTTGTCAGCCTCTAAAGTTTCAAGCCTGGCTGCTCTAGTTTTCATTTCATTTTCTCTATCGGTTGCCTCTTTCAGGTCCTGCTCTAACTTAGGGCGTAGCCTCTCGACCTGTTGGATCTCTTTGAGCTCCCGCTCTCGTGCGGTAATGGGGCTGAACTGCGAGCCTGCCATTTGACTAGAAGACTGTCTAGAACCTGAGGAACCGGAAGTGCCTGAGGAACTTGTGGAACTCGTTGGCATTCCCAACGAGCTCCCATTAGTCCCTGACGAGGACGCAGATGAAGACGCAGCAGAGCTTGCGCCGTTAGCCATCGCAGCTGCTCTGGCTGCTGTTGCCTGCTCTCTTGNCCCATTAGTCCCTGACGAGGACGCAGATGAAGACGCAGCAGAGCTTGCGCCGTTAGCCATCGCAGCTGCTCTGGCTGCTGTTGCCTGCTCTCTTGCTGCTCTTTTTGCTTCTGCTATCCCCGCTGCTAGCGCACGGGCTCTACGTATCCTTCTTTCTTCTCCCGGCTCCAAGGCCTGGAACGCGTGCGGTACCCTTAGTGCCCGTGCACGTGTTAGTCTCCCGTTGTCAGCTCTATCATCCACAGGATCTGACCCACTCATTAGTTGGACAGATAGTGTCTACACTAGAGTCCCCTAATGGAATCCTACCGCAGCGTGTATCTGACCGGCACGTAATTTTCCATACATAGTTGTGTCCGGCGAGTTCCCTACTGTACCGAATCAAGTGACATGTTTACAACATTCACACGGATTATCTACATTGTCTAGATGCACCCTGACTGGTTCACTTACAGCAGCATTAGTTAGTACTGGCTATGGTAGCATACAACAGTCCTACACTAATCCGTCTGTGAGGTTAGCAATCCGTCAACCAACTTATCAAAGGTACAAAAAGACAATGTAGCAGATGYATGATTGATGGGTATGGTTGTGTATACAGTTGAGCACCAATTGAAACCTACCCTCCCCTCAATCCAACCATCCGAACARCATCATTGAGMRGRCAGTGTCTTCGTGTGCATTTCGGCCCACCCCTGTGCCCAAGTTGTCACCGAGCAAGCCAGCCCAACCACTCTTATTTACCCTCGTACGGCGACGATCCTTCCTGTCCATGTGATCTGGCTGATCARGAGGAATTTATAGAGCGCCCCCATCTCTTCACGAATTATTTAACGTCCCAGTCAGGACGACGATCACAGTCAGATTCACAATGAACTCCCAACCAGAAATATTTATAGACGGTCTGGTGAGCGTCTGTCATGGGCTGGCACACCCGGAGGAACTTCTATCAGCGCAGCAAGTGCCAAACAGGACGGCAGCCATCGGTTGGCATGGTGACCGTGACCCAAGTGCTTCGACCAGGGCCCTTCTGAGGCACCGCCCTTTCTCCTTCCAGATGCTTCCGGGAAGATTGTCGTCTCTCAAGGTAGCGCGCTCACGACA